AATTTCTCTTCTTTTGATGGATTTGGAAAGGATCTCCTTTACAGTGGTTTTTATCTTCGTTTGGTGAAAATTAAAATCTATAATTAATTTTAGTCATACATTTTATGAAATTCACGACTTTTCAATCACTTATTTCATTAATTCTTATCAAAATCTACTAAAAATTTGATTTTAATCCTTGATCGAACTGAGCTTAATGGTTGTTTCCCTTTTTTTATTGTTTCTTTTGACGTACAAAAAAATAACAATAAAAAATAGACTAATCACAACTTTCCAAAGCTCAACGAGCTCTGGCCTGAATCAGTTCATATAACGAACCATCTCAATCTGATTCAGAATTATTACCAAAGGAATCTGATTCCACTGTCTCTACTAAAAAGGAGGAATTCGATGCAAAACCCGAATATGAGAAAAGCGAGGCGGAAATGGATATTGAAGTTGAAATGAAGCCGGACGAAGAAAATGAAAATGAAAATGAAATTAAAGAAAAGATGATCGATGATTTAATGGAACGGAAGAAGCGGAAGGTGAAGCTCCAGATGATATTGTTCGAGAAATTGATGTGTATTTTGCTCCTTCTATTGATCCTAATACTAGGGTAATCAAGCTTCCTTTTTTATTATTCAGTGAAAAGGCCATTTGCATTTTCCTTTTGAAATAAATTTGCATACCGTTGATGTTTATTTTTGTTTCTGTAGTTGAATGTGTTGCAATATCCATAGGGATGGCAAAAAAACCTGCCCCACCCCGCCTCGGTGTTGCCCTGCCCCGAATAGGGCGAAAAAAACTCGCCCCGACGGGTTGGTGGGGCGGGGAGGGGGTGCCCCACCCCGAAGAGCCCCGAACCCGCCCCGTGAAGAATAAAAAAAATAGTTAACTACAAATTAAAAACAAAAAATAGTTAATTGGAAGTTTTTGAAAAAAAATATATATAAACGGGGCAGGAAACGGGGCAATCCCGCGCCCCACCCCGTCTAAGATAGGGCGGGGCGCGGCGGGAAAGGGTGGGGGAGTAGCGGGGCGGGGCATTGCCATCTCTAAATATCCATTGAGGCTGGTGTGGCGGCCATATGAATTGGAGGACATATGCGAAGGGGTACGCATTATTAAAACAGGTTTGGTGTCTTTGTCTCTTGATAAACGAATTTGGATTTGGTCAATTGACCATTTATAAATTATGAGAAATTGTGGCTGTGGTTGATTATTCAGGTAAGGTAAAGCCAGGAAGTTCAGAATTTGAAGTTGATTTGGCAGTTAATTTCGACTCCGATAACTATGATCGTGATGCTAATCATAAAGTTCAGATGATAAAGCAGGTTATAGTCCTTTTTTGATGGCCATTATAAAGAGAAATTGGGGGAAAATAATGTTTTGAATAGTGATTTTTTTTTAAAAAATGCGTGATTAAAAAGTGGGGAAAGTTTTTGGATTTACGTGCAAAATGTTTTGTTTTGTGAATGTGTGATTGAAAATGAATATGAGAATTAAAGAGTTTTAATTTAAAGAGAGTCAAACATGGGCTTAATATCTTGTAACTAAAAGTTTATTGTCCGTCAAAGAATAACGTTTATGTTTATTGTTACTTGGTTTTTTGCAAAGTGGCGCTATTATATTATTTTGTCGCAGTAATGGCTGTAGATTAGTTAGGGTGAGAAGGGAGAAGAGCTCATCAATAGAAGTTAAAATTAATCTAAGCTTTGTCTTTTTCCTAGGAAATGTAAGCATATCTTGCCAAAGGAAGAGTATACTTCAAAACATCACATCAATGTTTATTATAGCCTGTGTCCAATACATGACAATGTGGTGGCATAACTACCTCTAAAGTCTAGGCACATCTTCCATGCCAGTGATTGTCTGTTTAAACCTACTGATCTTACTATGCATTAAATTATACTTGGATTTAACTGCATATAATTTTTCCTTTATATATTTGTTAATGACTATTCATGTTAGACAAGTTATTTGGTTATGAAATCAAGTTCTTTCACTATAAAGCAACAGGCTTGAGGTAAAGATCTATGAAATGGAGCACAATGCCTTTCATTCATGCTAGTTTGACTTAATTATGGATTTTAAATATTAATTTTTCCCACTGTTTTCTCTTTCTTTGTAGGATTGGGTTCCTTTCAAATACCATAATGCAAGGAGTGACATTTCAAATAGATATCTACAAAAGATGGCAGCACAAGAAGGCTCGCCTATCAATTTTTCTATGAGCTCGTATTCATTAAGATGCATCGACCTTCTATTTTCATCAATTTTCTACAAAGATTACGGAAGCTCCTTTGAATTTTCTGTATTGGAATCTATGTGTTGGTGTTAATTCTTTTTTTTTTTTAATTCCAATTTGAAGGCGTGATTATCTAAATAGATTGTGTCCGGGCACCTCTAATGAGAATTTCAGATCTAAAGTTCCTACAAGAAGGTATCTCGCTACCTATTTGACAGAATTTATCCACCGGTAATGAATACTGTTTGTACACTAATGAGACCATTTCCAATGAAAAGATATCTTTTGAATTGTTTTAGATACACCAGAAATTTCGATATGTTGTTCTTCATCTTGTTTCTAGTGATTTTTTTACTACATTCTTGAATGTTTAAAGTTTGTTTTCCTTTGATTGATATATTACTATTCACGAGCATTCCGAAGTAAACCTGTTTGTGAATGTATGGATGATAATTAAGTTGGAAAGTTCTCTGGGTACTTGAGGTGTCTTTATATTCAGTTTCTCATGATTGCAGTTTTCATAAGTATTTCTTTTGCTCTTAATGGATTATTGACATTTAGAATCATAATTTAGCATTGATAATATCACCAGAAGGCAGTTTTGTTGCTTGTATGGTAGTAGTTCTCGGGGTTCATGGAAATTTTAATTGTATTGCTTCTATTAAGTGTAGCATGGCATTTTTATTGTCAATCCACTATACTTTTTGTAATCATCATTCCCTAAGTTACTAGTACATGTTTGGTAGTATATTTTTGAATTATGGGCTATGTATGGTATGGTGATAAAGCTGTCAAATG